GTAATGATTTTAGAACTAAAATAAGAGTAAATCTTATCTAAGAAATTTTTACTATGATACTCATCTTTCCCATACAAAAAAATTACGAAACAACTGAATCAATAACAATTTTTTACTGTAATGCTCTTTAGGGTTCATTTGGGACGGTTTTCTTACTACTACTTAAAACAATTTTTTAATAAAAAATTAAAAATTTTATAGTCAAAAGATGTTTTAAGATATAATAGAAAAATCATTTCAAACGAAGCCTTACTCAGTCAGATTTAAATATATCATAAGTTTTGGCTTCATCTAAAAATTTATATCTATATAATTATGAACTATTTGATTATACCAAATTTAAAAATAAAAGAAAATAATAAATATTTTAAATATTTATTACATTGGATGAAATTGGATTTAAATGAGAGAGAAAACTAAAATCCAATATTAAAGGAGAAACGTCCTCCACGCTCACATTTGATATGATTGAAAAAAAAAATCAAAAGAAAGATATAAAAAATTGTTTGAGGAAGGGGCTGAAAAGTCATGAATTTATCTTGAGATTTGTGTTGCATACAAAAAAATTGAATTTTACACAGCTCGTCTTGGCCTATTTGTTGAGAGCTTATGCTTCTAATTAAGGTCTTGGGTTCGAGTCTTTGTGTATGCGTTGTGTGTATGAGTTTGACTTAAACAGCCTAAATGTCAAAAAAAAAAAAAAATTGAATTTTCTAATCTCAAAGAAAGATAATTCATTTTCAAATTTGAATAAGAATATCTGACATAATTTCCTTACAACCGCAATAATTTTCTTATTTAATTAGAAATAAAATCATCACATGATTTCTATTCAGAAAAATATTGCTTTATTTTTTTAAAATTTGGTTTAAGTAAGAAAGTATTAAAATACAGTTATTTTAATACTTTTTGTCTAACAGTTAATAAAAAGTTTTGCATATGAATTAGTTATTGCATTTCAAAAGATATTTTTTTTACTTTTTGTCTTAAATATTCAATCTCTCCTAATTTGCAGACTGATTAGGTTATTATGGTGCTTGTGGATTACATTGAAAATAATAATAATAATAATAACTTTTACTTTTATTTAAAAAAGAGAGGGTAATGCAACTAAGGGGTGTAAATGAGTCAAGTCGGGTTCAACTAATCCTTGACTTGATATTGAGTTTGATTAATTAATTGAGTTTGAGCTCGAGCTCGAGCTTTATTCTACGATTTTGAACCGGTTCACAAGCGGGCTCGGTTTTTATGAATTAGAGAAAATGATTATGATTCAAAAGATTTTTTTAATAAAAGAATTAAAAAAAATGAAAACAAAATTAATAAAAATCACTTAATTTAAGAAATTGAGATATAATTTTTTATTCTTCTTAATTTAAGAAATTTTATTCTTCTTCTTTTATTTATGTGTTCCTCTTGTGACCTTCATCGGAGACGGGACAACCTGGCCGTTTATTTAGCTGAAATACCAACAACCACGCATTTCAAAATTCAAAGAAAAAGTCTACTAGAACCATGAAAATTACTACAAGAACTTGTTGGGGAAAAAAAGAAAAAAAAAACCAAACAAACTAACAAATTAAGAAATAAAAAAGATTACACAAAATTTATCTGATGAAACTAAAATTGCTGAAGAAGCGTTTGATATGAGACCACAAACTCCTACCCAAAGTATAGAACATAGAAAATAGATTCCTTCTTCTACGAACCGGCGATTCGATGCTACAATTATTCTTCTTTTCAAAGACGATGTCTCCGCCAATCTCATTGCACAGTGCCTCCAGCCTTTGTTGATCAATATTGTTGGTGTCAATGGTGGACGACGAGGAGTCGGTAATATAGAAAGTGCCAACGGCTATGTCTTTCTCCTTGAAGAACAATGCCTTGTCAAGTGACAGGCTATTCTCTTTTAATACTCTTCTCATGTTTGAAAGAAGACCTTGATGATTCAAAGTGCGCACCTCCACCTTTAGCCCCTACACTCCAAAAAAATATGCTCATATATAAAAATATATAACAATATTTTCGATCAATTTAGAAGCTAAAAGATTTATACTCACTTGTGACATTCTCCTTTCAACGGCCGCCGCCAAACTTCGAACTAAACTTTGTCTTTCCATCTCATTGAGGAGAGTGCACTTATTCATATGCCGCACAAAGTATTCCTGTGTAGACAAATAAAAACTTTAATCTGTATTCATAAATTAAAGATTCAAAATTAATTAAGTTACCTGAATTGCAATTGATCCATCAGTGTTGATGGAGCCATGAAATACATCATAATCTAAATCAGTTAGTACACACACTATGTCGAACATTAGTTTAGGTCTATCACTACTCCTGACATTCACAACCAAGTAATCCTTATCCCTCCAATATTCAACAGACACCTGAGGTTGGGACACCATTCTGTTGCTTGCATTGCCATACCCAAACCTCTTGTTAGCCTCCATGACAGTAGTGGCTAAGCTCAACTGATCACCCTCGATAGGCAATGGAGGGGATCCAATATCATAATCCTTAAATTAGGACGTTAAAGCCATTAATTTTTTTTTTATTTAACAAGTTATCTATTTATCAATATAACACACACACACACATATATATATATATACACGTCGTCTAAGGTTTTACTATGGTCAATATTTCTAAAAAAAAATAAAAACAATGTAAATTGCTTGTGCATTAAAAATAAAAAATGCAACAGTAAGTGCTTAACATTTGGATGATTTATTTTTGCTAAGAGAGCAATTAAAAAAAATCTTATTTTTATTAATATAGAAGATATGGATACTGATCAGGTATGGAAGTAGTATCATATATAATTTAAAGCTTATTTGTCAAATGATTTCATTTGTAGTGAGAAGGACCTCATCAAATTATTATTCTCATAAAGTGAAAATAAATAATTAAATAAAATTTGAATTACTTGCAAAAACTTGCGACACATTAATTTGCAACCAATTCTGAAGCAAATTTGGAAATTGCTAAATTTTAATTGAATGTCCAAATTATCTCAAAAAAGTTGTATGCTTATAATTTAAATAAGCAGCTCGACAAGATAAATCAAATGAGGTCATGATTATTTAATTCTAATATCATTTTGGCAAGTCAAATGCATGCTTATTAAAATCAGACTGGATTGGTCGATTCAACCGACTGAAGTAGAAAATGGTTGGTTGACCGGTCCGTCTAAATCTGGAAACTAAACTAGAAAATGTTTGGCTTTCTTTTTGCTTCTTAAAGAAGCATTTTAGTACTAAATAAAAAAAAAATTGAACAACAAAGCTGCTTTAAGAAGCAGAAAGAAAGCTGTCCCAAATGAAGCCTAAATCGCTACAATTGTGTTTGATTAGAAGCAAGTATAAAAACCTGTTTAGCTTTGTAATGGCATCTTTGGAACCACTAAGAAGCCAAGTATAAAAGCATGTTATCTTTGTAATAGATTAGTATGTTTCATGATCATTTATTTTATTTAATTTGTAGTCACATTTTTATATGATTGCATAAATATATATAAATTATGTTATATTTAAATAATATTAGTATTTATTATATAAATTGATTTGACCTTGATTTGACTTCAGTCGAGCCATTGAACTATACAACAACAACAACAACATCAAGCCTTTATCCCACTACGTGGGGTCGGCTACATGAATCTTTTTTCTCCATTGAGTCCGAAGTAGTATCATATAAATATAATCAATAAACAACGGAATCAATTACAATTTTTTTATTGTAATGCTCCTTTAATCGACTAGATTTAAATGTATCATAAGTTTAGGCTTCATTTAAAAATTTATATCTATATAATTATGAACTATTTGGTTATGCTAAATTTAAAAATAAAAGAAAATAATAAATATTTTAAATAATTATTACATTGGATGAATTTGGATTTAAAAGAGAGAATACTAAAATCCAATATTAATTAAATGAGAAACGTACAATGAAAAATATTTAAATCAAAATATTGGTATTATATATATTGTATTTAATTAAAAATTTAGTTTAATATAACTTGTTCAATTACTTGTATAATAGTAATAAATTATAGTTTAAAATCAATTATCTTTCCTAGAGAGATAGAATTTAACATCTTTATTTTGCACGAAGCTCAAGCACACACAAATAAATAAAAGTTGTAAGTGACACTTAAATTTTACATGCAAAACTAGGAAAGATAAAAACACAAGGCATTGCTAATTGAAATGGTTCCACTAGTACAAGTTTTAAGTTACATATAAAGTCATTTCTTATAATTGAGGATAGTATTGAAAGAATATAGTAGACATAAACTATAGATAATGGATTATATGATGAAGATTGGGCAAAGAAATTTGATTGATGATAGTTGGACAATGACGGTCAAGCATGGACGAGTGCGCAACGGTAGATGAGCAATTGTGGTCGAAGGATAGTGGTTGCTGGTGAAGATCTTTGGCATCAAACATATAGTAGCTCCAGAGTTCTTAAAATCTCCATATTCTCCCTAATTTCAATTCAAGGTCCAAGCTTTAGAAGCTTTCCCATTATGCGAAGGATGATAGTTTATTTAAAATTTTTTAGAGTGATATTTTTATTATTTTGGTCAAAGTTTAAAAACATTTCATTGAATAATATGCTTGTTCTTGTCATTAATCTTGTTAGAACACAGCCTTTTGGTGACAGGGACATTAGCTTAGGGAAAAGAAATGTGTGAGGATGTTATGATTGTTAGTTTTGTGTGAAATCTGATTATGTCGATCAATTAAATTTGTACTATTGACTCAAATCTCAATTTCACCTATAGATGTTGATTAGTACCGTGGGGTGATGCATTTTATATCAAAATGATCTTCAAGACCCTTACATACATTGACAATATTACAATTTAGAATAATCATAAATAATATTAATCTAAGTATAATCTAATAGTTTTAAAGCTCGTCCTAATACAAAATGCATAGCATATCCTAACATTTTGTTTTCTTAGTTAAACTTCCACGCTCTTAAAGTAATATCATGCAACCTTCTTTTTTTTTTTAATAAAAACCAAGGCTTCGTTTGGGACGGCTTTTTTGCTGCTTCTTAAAGCAACATTCTAGTACAAAAATTAAAATTTTTAAACTAAAAAATTGTTTCAAGAAATAATAAAACAGTTATCACAAATAAAACCTAAGTGTCACAAAATTTTGTTTTGGGATGAGAGAATGCCATTTCTAAAATAATTAATATTATCTTAATGACATATTATATTGTACGTGAAAAGGTTGGAGTAGCTCCAGTAGAAGATAAAATTAGAGAGAGTCGCCTTAGATGGTTTGGTCACATAAAACGACGGCCTTTCGATGACCCGGTTAGGAGAGTAGAGGTATTAGATTTGACTTATGTTAAGAAAGGTAGGGGTAGACCTAAAAAGACTTGGTTAGAAAATATTAGGAATGACCTTTCTTTATTAGGTTTAAATGAGAATTTGACTTTTAATAGAACACAACGGAGAAAAAGGATTCATGTAGCCGACCCCACATAGTGGGATAAAGGCTTGATGTTGTTGTTGATAATGCCTTTTCTAAAATAATAAATTGTATCTTAATGACATATTATATTAATATAATTTGATATGTTAGATAGTATCTTAAATAATTTATTTCTTTTTTTATGATATAAATATAAAAATATTATTAACAAATATTATATATATATATATATATATATATATATTATAATATAAAACATATTAGGATGTCCATCAAATTTTGTCTCATATTAAAAAAATTAGGATTTTGTACTAAAAAAATTATATTTAGTTAAAAGCATTCTAAACTTTCAGTCAGTATTTAAATTTTCAAAACTACTAAAATATATCAAAATATAATTTTGAGATAAATATAATATTAATTACTATTATGTGTTACAATATTCATCATAATATAGTAAATGAGTTCTTACATAAGTAAGGATCCAAAATGGTCCCAACTAAATTAAAAGATTATTTTGGCCCTCAAGTCTTTAAAAATAATTAAAAAAAATCCCATGATCATATTATTTTGGGTCCTCTTTAAGGCTTTAAGAGATTAAAATAGTTTTTTAATATAGTTGAGAACTTTTTTAATCTTTCATAAAAAGTCAAGTGACTATTTGAATCATGCATTTTTTCCTTAGCTTTATACAAATATCGAGCACGCAAACCTATAAACGAAAAAAATATTGGTAACACCCAAATTTTTATGTTGAAACCCCAGAAAGAGGAAAAACCACCGAAATAATTCTTGCCAAAGAATCATTGAATTTAGGCTAATATTAATACTTATGTATAAAATTATCATGAACTCCACTAATCTCAATGCATATTCAAAGACTCCCATCCTGACATAAATTATCATAATATTTTTACATAATTTTTTTCTTCGTATTAAAATTTCATCACAATTAATGTCTTAACAAGATTTTTTTATTAAATTATAGATCATTTTGTTTAATAAATTGGTAAAAAGGGTGGCCAACACTTAATTGCCAGCTAACTAATAGCTGCACAGTAATTTCAGTAAAACAAAAGCCATAAATTTTTTGTAGTTAATTAAATTACTTCAAAACTTTTTTATTTTTTAATGTTTAATTATGATATTATATAAGAGGATGGAATATATAAAATCATTATGAAAAATGGCCAAGAATACAGTTCTAAGAGCTTCAGATTTTTGGCTCAGCAAACTATGATTTAGATTTCATTTGAAAAAAAATTTCTTACTGCTTTCTACGGAAGCTCTCTTATCCAAAAAATTTCTTAAAAATAATGAAAAAATAGACGATAAAGTCGTCCCAAATGATGCCTTAGTTAGCTAAATTAGGTCTTAGAATACTTGAGTATCATCAAACCTAACAAATGTAAAGGCTTAGAGTACGTCTCATCCGCTCTGCTAGGTTTTGGTGGCTTCGGGCGTTTCCCCGCCCGGTGGGGGCTTTTCTCTCCAGCGACCTCTCGTTCTGGGGAGTTCTCTTCCTCTCTACTTATTCCTTTTTGTTTGGTATATTTTTTTGTTGGTTTTTTCTTGTCTTTGCCGGCTGTGCCGGTATGGGTGCTGTTAAGTTGAAAGACCCCGGTATTTTTGGGGGGGTTTCTCATTCCCGATCGTTTCTTGAAGCTCTTGCTGGTCCTAAGTCATCTTTTCCGGATTTGCATGTTTCCACGTTTCGTGGCTTACCGTCGTTATGGGTTTCGGATCTGAAAATTCAGGAGCTTGCTGCTTCTTTTCAGTTCTCGCTTGTTGGTTTTTTCCTTCAAAAAGGCCTACTCTAGAATCTATTCATAATGTTTTCTTCAATTTGAAGTTGAAAAATGAAGTTTCTGTCACGATTTTAGATCATTCTCATATTCTGATCAAGTTATCTAATGATCTAGATTATTTTAGAGTTTTCTGTCACCGCTCTTACCTTGTTTTTAATTGCTTTATGAAACTGACAAAGTGGT